AGTCCATCATAAGACTCGACGAGTCGTTAATTTTTTCATGCCGAACAACTGCTGATTTGATGCTAATACTTATACCACTTGCATCCTTCTAATTCCATATCCATTCTTGAAGATCTTACGTCGATGTTCGTATATTTAGAGCGACCCACACGAGACATGGATGAGATGTTCCCATGTATGAGTTTCTTGAAGTTGGAGCTTAAAAGAGAGTGATCAACCTATCCACTGCTATCCCAGGGGAGTTTGTTCCAATTCCCTCTTTATTTTTCTGTTTTTATGCATAATATGCAATGAGGGCATTGCATCACATAAGTGTGGGGTAGGGGGTTGGTTACATAATAGTCAATTTTTTTTAACAATTTTGCATACCAAAAGAATTATTTAGGATTTAATTTAGAAAATTTTGGTAAAAAATTAGGATTCCATATTAGAATTGTGTTAATAATTGCATGAGAACCCAAATGTTTAGTTGAGCCTATATACGTTCTAGTGCATTTGTGGCTTCCTTATTTCAGTGAAATCATGAAACAAAAACACGACCTTGCTCAGCCTGAGGGATGCAATATGTTTAGTAGCCTAAACCTGAAATGTATCCAGGAAATTTTTTATCATTAGCCAATAAAGGTTGAGATTGAGCGCCCCTGCTTAAGCATGTAGGGATTTGAGTGAAAAAAGTGAGGTATACATGTAAAAAAAAGAAAAAAAAAAGAGAATTACAAGAAAAATTGTAAGAATTTTGGAGCAAATGAAGTGAAGATCTGAAGATCAAAATTCCAAGAAATCCGAAAAGTTGAAGATACCAAAAATCAAACAACAAAGGTGGTGAATTCAAAGAAATTAAAGATCAAATGTCAAAGAAGTGAAGAATTCCAAAGAGCTCCATAGTGGTATCGAAAAGTTGTAATTCTAGATTATGTATGCTTGGGTTGCTCAATTAAAAATACCTTGAGGGTAAAGAGGTTTTCTGAGGATGGATTCGGAGGGTTGCATAAAATGAGCATAGTTCGGGGTGAGTGGGCGAATGTTTATGAGGATTGTGAGTATTTGGAGTATGGGGGTTATTAGGAAAATTTTAGACACAAATGCATGCGTTGCGGTCTTGGCATAATGGCTGGGTTAGATTGGAGTTATTATATATGATTCTAATGTGTTAAAATGCAGTTTTGCTTGAGGGCAAGCAAAAGACAAGTGTGGGGTATTTTGATATGTGCATATTTAGTGTGTATTAAGTGTAGTTTATTTATTCATATATTAGCTAAATTGTTGCATATTATGGACAAAAGGTACTTAAAAGTGTTAAATTATGTTTTTCAGTCCAAAGATGAAGCTCGGAAGCGAAAGGAAGCAAGAGAAGCGGTTAGGAGCTCAAGAGTGGAATGAAGAAAGAAAACACCCATAAAAGGCTTCTACTCGTCGAGTCGAGCCTTGACTCGACGAGTCCGGTCGCGGAATCAGAAGGATAATCATTCGGAAGTCATGATAGTTATCGGATTACGAAGGATGTGAGAGGGACTCGACGAGTCGGAACGCATATATAAAGATAACTCCACAAATCGAGAAGAGGGAATTCTGGGAAGTTTCAGAAGTGCTTAGCTGCGAATAAGAAGCCAGAAGAACCCTAGAAGTCGACCAAGGAAGCTAGAATCCAATCCCGGGAGTAATTAAGGCATAATTTCACCATTCTACTTAATTATTTTGTTTTGTCAACATGATTAAGCAACTTGAACTTATTTGTTTGCTGATATTTACCTTAGTTATGAACTAAATTCTTTAGACTTTTGTTTGGGAATACAAAGTTGACAATATGGTTTGATTAATTGGTAGGATTAATTCCAAGTTGGTGATTAATTGTTATTTTAGCTTGCTAAAGAACCTTGTGTATGAATGATAATTAATTTTCTGTTAATAGGAAGATAATTGATTAGCATGAACATCTATTGATTATCAACCTCATATGATATGTGACCACTATACCATATGTCTAGAATTAATGAACATGAAACTAGGATTAATAAGGAAATTGAGTAAATTCATGTGCAAGCTTGTAAGATGACCATCAACAAGAGGTTAATTAAGAATAACGAATTAATTAGCTATTGCAAGTCTAACTTAACCCGAATAATTAATCTAGTAAATATAATTAAATTAAGCAATTGGCCACTGTTTGAATTAGTTTATTTGCTAAGGATTAGGGTAGTGAACACAAACCTAATCACTTGAATCGGTAACCAACGAAAGAATTAATCCATTGCACTATTACCTTAAAATCAACCATAAAGTTAACCGAGTTGAACTAAACAGAAGTTTCTTTCCCATTATTGAATCTAGTTAATTTGTTCTTTTCTAGTCTTGCATTAGTTTTAGTTAGTAAGTTTCTAGTCTTGTAAAACTAGAGAAAAAACCCCTATTTGCTTAATCAACTTAGATAGAATTAGTTTTTAATTTAATTTGCCGTTCCCTGTGTTCGATACCCTGCTTATTTAGCTATACCACAATTGATAGGTTCACTGCCTTTTGTGTGTTATTTGATAATTAAAGTAGGATTAAAACTAAGTGAGTTTTACACACATCAGCTTGGATAAGCCAAAATCGTCCATAGGGTTATCAAGGATAGGATATGGATCAACTTAAAGTCTAAGTTATCCAATTAGGGTTAAAGCTGTAATCCTTAAGGAGTCTACAAGTATAAATAGGCCCTAGGGGTGAGGGAATTCGAGAGATCACAACACACCATCTAAAGTAGAGATACTCTGGCCGAATTCCTCCCCTTTCCTCTCTCCTAAATCATCTTACTTTCTATTGGTGTTTGTAAGCCATTAGAGGAGTGACATTTGTGACTCTAGAAGCTCAAAGACAACAAGATCAACAAGGAATCCAAAGGTATGATTCTAGATCTATTTCAATGTTGTTATTTGTTCTAATTAGCCATTAGAAGTCTTGGATTCAAAGCATGTTTAATTAGAAAGCCTAGATCCGAGCATTAGGGTTTTGCATGCGCACATAGGAAAGTACTTATGGCTAAAACCCATCACTTACTTCCACTCCATTATTGACATCCCTTGCCTTCCCTTTCTTCAAACCGCCGATCTCTCCCATCGTATCCCGCTTCCTCTTGCTCTCACCGATGAAAACTCTCCTTCCCAAATATAATTCATCATTTTAGGAAACAAATCAAAGAAGAGAAACTCAAAAACTCTTTATTAGAAAGTGCGCCTCCACCGCCTCTTTGCACAATCGCTTCACTCAACGATATTAGAGATTTCTATGAAATTTGAATTGCAAATTTTGTTTAATCGATTTGAAGTTCTACCTCATAATTGTTGAATCGTAGCCCGTGTAACTAAATCAATTAGGATTTTAGTTTAGTATTTTCCATTTCACAGTTTCTTATTTGAATCCATGGTAGGGTCGATTTTATATGTGATCCTTAATAATTCTTCTTCTCTGAAATCCTGTTGATTGTTTTGTTTATATGTTGCAAATAGTTTTATGATTTTTCGATTTGATAGCAACCGCCTGATACTAATGCATATAAGGTGCTTGATGAAATATTTGGTGGGATTAAACAAAAAGATCAGCTATTGAAGAGAATCATGGTTTGTTATATTATCTATGAAGTTCTTTTTTCAATGGTTGAAGAGGATATTTTGTTGCAAAAAAACTGAAAATGGTATGAAGCCCTTCCACTTTTTTTTGTTTTTTGTTTTTTGTTTTTGTTTTTGTTTTCGTTTTTTTTTTTTTTTTTTTTTTTTTTTTTTTTTTTTACAACATAAATTCTTATGAGTTTTCATTACAAGCAATCTGAATCAACCATCCAACTCTCAAATTTGTATAAAGCATTATACTTGCGTGTGGCTAATTGTATAAAGCATTGTACTTCACTTTGTACCAAAACTAACAAATTGTTTTAGTTTTTCCAGGAAAAAGATTTTAAATTTTGTTTTACCTTGGTCATAATTGTGGAATTATGATTTTGGTTTTCATAACAACGTATATATAGGCTCTCTCATCCTTGATCATGATTAGTGGAAATATGGCACTGTTTGATCTTTATCCAGGCGATCACCATAGATACAAAAAAGTTCATAGTTCCTCTTCCTTAGGTTAAGCAAGTCAAGGTCAATACTTAGCAATTCATTTTACTTTACCAATATGCAAAAAGATGTAAATCCCGGTAATAGATTAGAATATGACCTGTTAAGCAAGTCAAGGTCAATACTTAGTAATTCATTTTACTTCACCAATATGCAAAAAGACATAAATCCCGGTAATAGATTAGAATATGACATGTAGTTGTGACATAAATGCCATTTTGGATCATACCGTTCTATTCATTTTACTTTACCAATATGCAACCTACTTTACCAATATGCAAGGTCGGTTGTAGGCATTAAGAGAAAAAGATTTATAAAGTAAAAAACTGATGGGGTGAGAGAGGCTCGAACTCTCGACCTCAGGATCACTCTTTAGCTATGAGACCTACGCGCTAGCCAACTGCGCCACCACCCCAATGTGAAAGCTGACATGATTTTGTATATTAGGACGCTCATATTGATAGCAAAATATACACCACCAATGCATGGATCTGTTTTGTTATTCATCGGCTTAAAACAAATCAACAACGATGGACATTTACTGGTGCTTTTGAGGTACACAACACATTATCAAATGGTCAAATTTATTTACTTACTTAAAATAACGCATCTAATTCTTCTGGTTTCTAAAAATTATAGGCAAGACAAACTATTATTCTTAGAGGCCTCTTTCGAATAGTTGCAGATAGTCGACATCCTGTAAGATTTCCCACCACTCCAAAATCCCTTTTTAGTTCCATATATTTTTTTATAGTGCCACATCAGCAATCATATTCCAAACTCCAAAGTCATCTAATTTTACGAGAATTCAAGCGAGGCAAGATTTTCTTATTTTATATTAATTAGTCCATTATTTGGAAACAGCCCTAGTCAACAAGTGCAACAAATGAGTCAATCTTAAACATCTCATTGGATCATGGAAAAGCCATTGATCTCATCAAGTCCCATGAGCGTGTTGTTATTTGCCAAAAGGTTGGTGATGATTCTGTCGTCAAAATTACCGAGCTTCAAGACTAAATCACTAAATCACATTTTATGAGATATCGAGCGTGTTGTTATTTGCCAACAACAAAACTCTACAAAACAAACATCAAATGTTGTCTAATTTCTAAAATCTACCCATGTTTTGCTTGAAAATCGGTCATGAAAGCAACCACCTTATTAGAAACAAATCAATTCAATGAGCTTGAAAGAGTTGACTATATTGAATAATTTATGATTTGGGGTTGTTCGTTGAATATACAACACTACTATCAATACTAAACCTCCAAGAGAGTTCGCCCTTATTAGAATACAAAGTAACCGACTCACCATAAATATCGTCTTGCTCGTTCTCATTATTTAAAAAATTTACATTTTCAGCGCCATGTCGATTCGCGTTCACCCATGGATGTCGAGTAAACTTCCGCAAACCCTCGAGTTGAATCGCCACTTCTTTCATCGTAGGCCGCTCATCGCTAGTAAGATTAACACATCTTTTCACAAGCTCACCAATCTCCTGAAGTTGGTCTAGGCTTCCTTCCCTTACAACTCTAGGGTCAAGAATTTTAAACAAACGGTTTTCTTCAAGTGCCATTACAAAATACCTCGCCAAATTCCTTTCTTCCTCGGTTCTTTCCATACACAACGGTTTTCTCCCTGTTAAAATCTCAGCCAATACAACTCCAAAGCTATAAACATCGCTCTTTTCGGTTAACTGACTTGTGTGGAAGTATTCGGGGTCTAAATACCCTAAACCTAAAGTCCCTTGAACTAGCGTGGTTACTTGTGTTTGATCTATAGGGACTAATCTTGATGCTCCAAAATCGGCTATTTTTGTGGTGTAATTATCGTCTAATAATATATTTGCGGACTTCACGTCTGTGTGGATCACAGTGGATCACAGGGGTTGATGTGGCCGAATGAAGATACGAAAGTGCACCTGCGGATTCTGCAGCTACTCTTAAACGATTCTCCAGTGATAACCAATTTGTACCATTGTCATGAATATGATTGAAGAGAGTTCCATTTGAAACATATTCATAAACTAGCAATGGGACCTCGCTCTCTAAACAACAACCCAAGAGCTTGACCACGTTTCGATGGTTAACTTGTGTTAAGATAACGACTTCATTGATGAACTGTTCGATTTGGGTTTCATCCATTACACGAGACTTCTTGATAGCAACGACCCGGTTGTTGCTAAAAATGCCTTTGTATAGAATTCCGTAGCCACCACGACCCAAGATCCTGTCTTCAGCGTAGTTGTTGGTGGCTTTTTCTAAGTCTTCTGCGGTGAAGACTTTTGTTGAGTCAACGCTGCCTTCGCTGTTCATGATTCGTTGTTTCAGTAGTAAACCACCGTTTTGCTGAAACAATTTCTTCTGGAGTTTGATAAGGTTCCTCTTCTTGACGCCAAAATACAGCCATGTTGTTCCAACTAAAATGGCCAAGAAACGAAATCCCAATCCTGCATGTTGTTCCGATACCAAAGGGATATGGAATGGTTATGTTTCCACATTGGCTTTGGCAGCCGGGTTTGGTTAAGTTGGCGGCTTTTCTGATGGTGGCAGCCTCACCTGCGGTTGTGTTTGTGGTGGTTGACTGAGATGTAGACGGTGTGAATGTGATTGCTAGGCAAAACAAGATCAACATACATACAGGAATACGATTTGGGTTTCATCCATTACACGAGACTTCTGGTGATCAACTGCATTGTTCTTGACGATCGAGGAAGCAGAGCTTCTATCCATGGAGAACGATTTAAAGCTACGCAAATAGGTTTTATTTTCCATTGTTTATTTGCGATGTACCTGTCATTTTGTCAAGTTGTTATATTTTCAAACCATTCACTGAATCACGACTTCATATGTCCGTTGACTTGATGAACAGTATTCTTTATGTGTGTCAGACTTTTGCCACAACGTTTTGGACAGTTTGGCAACTTTCGTCCCTCAACGATCACGACTGCTCTCTTCCGACTTCTCCTCACCACCATTACAACTTACAAGAATGAAGAATCTTCTTGAGCTTTATTTTTATAAACGAGGTACGAACGCTGCCTTCCTTTTTTCCGTCTCCTTTTTAGACGTCGCAACAAGATTGAAGAAAGTCTTAAAAAACATGGTGAGCTCATTATTAATTTCTTTGGCTTTCTTTTGCTCTTTATATGACGATTTTGAGAAATTGATTTGGGTTTCTTGTAACCAGTTCATCAATATGATCAACAGCAAGCCGTAAATCAAGGTGTGTTGAAGCTTTCACCTTTCTTCAAATACCAGGAAAGCTCGACGACAAAAGATTGGCTGCAATCTAATGCACAAGTGAGTAAACTAAACCATTGTATATCCGATTTTTTTTTTTTTAAATAACCCATGAGTTTCAACAATTAACCAAATTATAGAATTTCCCTTTCATTTTTTGTTTATTAGAACATACTTGGAAAAGTCCACTTACTTTCTCAGTAACTTGCAGAATTGTTGTGATAATTTTATAAACAACCATATATGTCATCATATTGCTTCAATGAATAGTTAAAACTAGGGAAAATGATTTAAAAACCCAACGAAGTTTTCAAACCGTTTAAAAAACCCCAATCATGTTTTGTCTGTTCAAAAAACCCAACAAACTTAACATTTTATCTAAAAAACCCAACTAAGTTACACTTTCTCGAAAGTCAAATAAAAGAAACAGATGACGTGGCTTACTACCGTATCGGAAAAATGACTTGTTAGACCAACGAAGTTTCCAAAACGTTTAAAAAACTCCAATCATATTTTGACTGTTCAAAAAAAACCCAACGAACTTAAACAAAACAAAATAGGAATTTTTTGAACGGTTTGAAAGTTTGTTGGACTTTTTAGATAAAAGGTTAAGTTTGTTGGGTTTTTTTGAACAAACAAAACATGATTGAGGTTTTTTGAATGATTTGGAAACTTCGTTGGGTTTTTAAGTCATTTTCCCTTAAAACTATTATATTTGCTGCAGGATATCTTATCAAGTTTTGAAGGAATGAAATCTTTAATGGATCAATGTTTTGGAGAAGCAACTTAAACCATTATTTCTTTACAATATTGTCATTTTTTTGTTAAACTCCAACTGAATTATCCGTTTATCATTGAATGTATAACTTCTCTTGGGATGAGGTACATCTTCACCTCTTATCATTAGGCCCAATAAGTAAAAAACAAGCAGTTCCTAAGTCACTATTGGGATGGGTTTTAATCAGTTCATTCTTTTTCAAAACCAGTTTCAGTTTTGACTATTTTGCCTTTATCTACTAGCTAGACTTAATACCCATTGGTTTATTTATTCTCACACTCCTATTCAGAGAAATTACTTAATATAAAAGAATGTAAACATGATTCATAGTCTATGTTATTATAATAATTGTGAATTGGGCGATTTTCCTTTACATATTGCAGTTGAGGAAGCATAAAGAGCTGCTTCAGCTGTGTGATATGAAAGAGTCTACAATGGAGCCACACAATTTCCTTTTCTTTTTCTGTAATCATTTATGTAGATTGAGTTAGGTGCATTTTGGTACTTTTTTCCTTTTTTTGTAATCCTTTATTATTATTTTTTTGGTATGTGTAGTCCCCTGAGGTTTATTATGGAAATAAATGGGTACTTCAGGTATTTTTCACCTATTGTACTTTTATATATACATTTTTAAAAGGGATATATACAGTAAAGTTCCAATATTTTCATCGATTTGATAAGAAAGTTCTAAACTTTATTTTTTTTTATAGTAAAGTCCAAATTACCGGCAATTTTTAACATTTTTACAATTTTTTCCCAGTTAGCCGGTAATTAGGACTTTTTTGTTAAAAAAAAAATAAAGTTTAGGACTTTCTTGTTAAATCGTCAATTAAGACTTTACTGTCAAAAAAATAAAGTTTAAGACTTTTTTTTGTCAAATCGTTGAAAATATTGGAACTTTAGTGTATATATAAATTTTTTTGGTTAGAAATTTATTGGTATGATACTCTTTAAGCATAAGAATTACTAAAACCTTCACTAATCTGCTAGATCCTATTGAAATCCTTAATGTTTGCTTCTTGTTAAACCGTTTTTTAATCTCAACAAACGAACATTGAAAAACATTGAGATAATCAAGAACAAAAGAAAGAAAGAATCAGGGTTGTGTTGGCTTTTGCAGCCCCAAAAATGGAGAAATAAGAAATCGAAAAAAACGAAATTGCCCTTCTTTTCCTTCTCCACATTCACACCCTTTTGACTAGGCATGTGTTGTTTGTGTTTGTATAAAGCCATGGCAATTTCGTTTTTTAGGTTTCTAATTTCTCCATTTTTGAGATTGAAAAAAACCAACACAACGCTGGTTCTTTCTTTCTTTCTTGATTATCTCAATTTTTTTCAATGTCGGTTTGTTGAGATTAAGGGGGTGTTTGACTTAGCTTTTCAAACCCCAAAAGTACTTTTTGGAAAAATTACAAAAAGTCAGGACCTGACTTTTCCAAAAAGTTCATTTTCCTTATGTAAAAACTTCAAAAGTGACTTTTAAAACTAGTTTGTCAAATATCTTTTGCTTTTTTTTTCTTTTCCAAAAAGGATTTTTGGCTGTGAAAAGCTAAGCCAAACACCCCCTAAAAAAACGATTTAACAATAAGCAAACGTAAAGGATTTCAATAGGATATAGCTGATTAGAGAATGTTTCAATAACTCTTATGCTTAAAGAGTATCATACCATTAAATTTCGAACAAAAAAAATTATATATACACTAAAGTCCTAATATTTTCAACGATTTGACAAAAAAAGTCCTAAACTTTATTTTTTTTTTTACAGTAAAGTCCTAATTGACGATTTGACAAGAAATGCCTAAATTTTATTTTGCTGACAAAAAAATCCTAATTACCGGCTAACCGGAAAAAAATGGTAAAAGTGTCAAAAACTGCTGGTAATTTGGATTTTACTGTAAAAAAAATAAAGTTTAAAACTTTCTTATCAAATCGATGAAAATATTGGGACTTTATTGTATATATCTCTTTTTAAAACCTGTTGTGATGTTTGATTAGGGGTTGTTAGGCTTTAAATTTATCATGTTCGGATTGATGTGTTACTTCTAAGTGTATTTAATCCCAAAAAGAAACAAACATTGTTTATACATCACCTTATCTAAAGAAACATCATTTGAATTGTTAAGTTGTTTATTGTTAACCATTTGGGTTGTGGTGACTTGGTAAGGCATGTGGAAGATATGGTGGATAACCTATTGACCCATGTTCAAATCCTGGCACCACTCAGCCCTTGTGGCCATGGAGGTTCGCCTGTAGTGACTCCAGGGCATGAAGCAAAGCTTTATGTTTGCAGCGGGTGATTAGTCGGTGCGCGAAAGCTGGTCCGGAAACCCTCGTTAAGGAAGTTCCCTTTCCAAAAAAAAAGTTGTTTATTGTTGGTGTTCTAAAAAGAAGGGTAAAATGGTCATTTATAGGCAACTACATAGTTGGTTGGTTGATTTGGTTATAGTGCTCTTGAATTTGCGTTATAGTTTGAACTTTGATGTTGATTTCAAAGTGAATTTAGTTTCTGGGTGCTAAAGCTTTCCGTGTTTTGGAGGTAAAATAAATAGAGCATAAGAAATTGTTACCTTTATTTGATGATATATTCTTAAAGATGTCTCCTTGCTTACTTATGTTTGGGAGGTTGACTTTTTCCAGTTGGCTGTGTTTTGCTTTTGTAGGTTTATGAATTGGCAAAGGGAAAATTGAGGATTCCTCACTACAATGTTTCAAATGTTAATGGATCTTCCTAATTTTGCAAAAGGCATTGCTATTAAAACCACATCAGCTACCTCCATTAAAACCTTTAATTATAAACTTGATTCTTAATTGTGTTCTTCTGACATCTTTACTTTTTCAATATAAAACAATTTTACCAATGATTATTTGTATTTCTTTATTAAAATCGCGAATTCACTTAAACTTTAAAATTTTTGGGGCCCACACCACCTTTGCTTACATATGAACCAATGTATTTCACATCTTTTTGCTTATGTATGAATATGTAGCATTTATTCTCAAACGAAATCCAGTTTACCATGCAAATCCATTACATTTGCACAATCAAAATAGAAAAATACAAACCCTTTTCGCATGGTTCTTTTCGTAGTTTAAAAGTAAAAGTTATTTAGAACAAATACAATTTGAGTTGATGGACCAAAACTATGATTTAAAAGGTAAAAACCGTAAATTTAATAAAACAGTAGGTTCTTTAAATAAAAATTAAAGGGAAAAATACAGAAAAACACAACCTTATATCTACTAACATTCAGGAAAACCCCTTATAGTTTATTTATATTAAAAAAAACTCTTATATTTTCAGTTACATTTCATATTAACCATAATATCTGATTTTTTTAAGAAATTATCGGCTGTTTTGTAACATGACATTTGTTTTTTTTGTTTTTAGGTTAACATGAAAAAAAAATAAATGATATGCCTCTTGTTTTAATGCAAAACGTTCATTTACTCAACGACCAATAACTCAAACAATAATAAGAGACGTCGTTTATTTTTTTCCATGCCAAACCAAAAACAAACAAAATAAATGTCATGATACAAAACAACTTATAACTTCTTAAAAAATGAACATGTGGGTCAATTTATACGGTAAATAAAAATATAAGTGTTTTTCTACATATAAATAGAGTGTAAGAGTTTATCCGAATACTGGTAGATAAATTGTTGGGTTTTTCTGTATTTTGCCCAAAATTAAATATATAAAATTTAAATATATAAAAATGAAAAATATTAACAAAAAATATGATAAAAGGTTAAGGATTAATAATTTTAAAGGATTAAAATAGAAAAATCTTACAAAGAAACTTATTTGTGGTGGGGCAAAACAATCTTAAAAGGAAACTTATTTAAGGATTAATAATTTTAAAGGCTTAAAATAGAAATATCTTAAAAGTGAAAATCTTATTTTTTAAAATCTAAAATAGCCCTATATTTTAAAAGAAAATATACAAATTACCCTATTTAAAAAAAATAATAATAAAAATAAAAAAATAAAAAAAAATCCAATGATACATAATTTAAGACGAACTCTAATATATGAGAAGATCATAAATGTGTGAATAAATCAATAATTACTAATGTCTTAAAATACATCAAAAAGAAAAATTAATGATACTAAAATAACAAAGCCAAGAACCAACAAGAGGACCATGGTATTTATATTTTCCATGGTTGCGATTCGTATCATCGGGGCACATGTGTGGAATAAACGAGACTGCTATCGATACTAAAACCCGAAGAGAGTTCAACTGTAGTAGAATACGGATTAATCGATACACCATAAAGATCCTCTTGTTCATTCTCGGTGTGTATCAAGCTCGTGTTTTCTTCCTCCCCTTGTTGATTCGCCCATGGATGCTGAGTAAACTTCCGCAAACCTTCAAGTTGAGTGGCCACTTCTTTCATCGTAGGCCTCTCATCACTAGTAAGCTTTACACATTGTTTCACAAGCTCACCAATTTCCTGAAGTTGATCTAGGCTTCCTTCCCTTACAACTCTAGGATCAAGAATTTGAAACAAACGGTTTTCTTTTAGTGCCATTACAAAATACGTCGTCAAATTCCTTTCTTCCTCGGTTCTTTCCATACACAACGGTTTTCTCCCTGTTAAAAGCTCAGCTAACACAACTCCAAAGCTATAAACATCGCTCTTTTCAGTTAACTGACTCGTGTGGAAGTATTCAGGATCCAAGTACCCTAAAGTTCCTTGAACAAGTGTTGTAACTTGTGTTTGATCTATGGGGACTAATCTTGATGCCCCAAAATCCGCGATTTTTGTTGTATAATTTTCGTCTAATAATATGTTTGCAGACTTCACGTCTCGATGAATCACGGGGGTTGATGTTGCTGAATGAAGATACGAAAGTGCACCAGCCGATTCTGCAGCTACTCTTAAACGATTCTCCAATGATAACCAATTTGTGCCTTTGTCATGAATATGATTAAAAAGAGTTCCATTTGAAACATATTCATAAACTAGCAACGGAACCTCACTCTCTAAACAACATCCCAAGAGCTTGACAACATTTCGATGGTTGACTTGTGTTAAGATAATGACTTCATTGATGAACTGTTCTATTTGGGATTCATCCATTACACGAGACTTCTTAATAGCAACGACTTGACCGTTGCTAAAAATACCTTTGTACACAGTTCCATAGCCACCACGACCCAAGATTCTGTCTTCAGCGTAGTTGCTGGTGGCTTTTTCTAACTCTACGGCGGTGAAGACTTTTGTTGAGTCAACGCTGCCTTCGATGCTAATGATTCGTTGTTTCAGTAGTAAACCACCGTTTTGCTGAAACAGTTTTTGTCGGATTTTGATAAGCTTCCTCTTCTTGAAGGCAAAATACAACCATGTTATTCCGACTAAAAGGGCCATAAAACCAAATCCCATACCTGCATGCATGCATGATACCACATTAATTAATGAAAGATGAATAACAATGGACTATTTCATGTTTTCAAATTTCAACCAATCCATTGACTTCACTCGATCAGTCAACTGAGGTACTGGATGATCCATTTAAGAACACAAAAGCGATAATATTAGAAGTGGTTAATTACCTAGGGAGAATTTGATAACTGGGAACTCCGAAGTTTCAGCAAGACAACCTCGACCGTTGCTAAATTCATCTACAACGTAGCCATTTTTGCAAGAACACGAGTAACTTCCAGGAGTGTTGGTACAGATCCCCTCGCACAGATTACTGTTGGGATCTTCACATTCATTGATATCTGAGATGATCGAATAAAAAATCAGTATAAATCAAATAGTTATATATATCAGAATTGAGAATATTTTGATTGCGAAAGATTTAACCTTGACAGCCTTGATCAAGATATGGTTGACCTTGATAGCCTTGATTACAAACGCATCTGTATCCCGGAGCTCCGGTATCAGAATCAATACAATGAGTATTTGCTTGGCAAGCCAAGACGCTGGCGTTTCTAGCTTCACTGCAGCTCGAGTTCCCGACCACCCAGTCCACCAATACCGGAACAGTAGCCCTGGTCCGGCTAACGAAATCCCTATCCATAAAATCCGACACCCCTCGAAACGTAAACCGTTCTTCCTCACCCAAAAAAGAGTAAGTACAAGGATCAAAAGACCAAACTGTGGTGTGATTAGACGTCATACTACCAACAGAAGCGTAGTAGTATTTGAGTCCTTTTGGTATCGATGTTTTGCAGCATCCGACTCCGGTGCACGACCCGTTGATCACCTCCTCAGGTCGTGAACACAATGTGATGCAACCGCTGGTGAAGTTCACTTGTTGTGGGCCTAAGAACAAAGCGAAATCATCGCATCCGATTAAAGTGAACTGGTTTTTTTGGGAAAACGTGTAGGGTGATGTCCAGCCGAGACCTATGGAAACGGGATTGTTTTCTGTGAGATTTCCGAATGGGTCGTAACATTTACTTGCCACTTTGCTAGTGATTCGTAAAGTGGAATCGGAGATTTCAAGAATTGGGAGAACATCGATGAAGGGTTTTGGAGGGTTGAAAGTGGTGTTGCAGGTCATCTCGAACCATTCGCTTAGAAAACAGCCCGGGCCGATGCCGAAGGGATATGGAATGGTTACGTCTCCACATTGGCTTTGGCATCCGGGTTTGGTTACGTTAGCGGCTTTTGTGATGGTGGCGGTGTCATCGGCGGTGGTGTTTGTGGTGGTTGATTGGGATGTAGACTGTGTGATTGCTAGACCAAACAAGAACAGAAATAAATGAAGACTTGTGGAGAATTGCATTGTTCTTAACGAAGAGGGGGATCTTTTTTCCATTGGTGATCGTTTTAAAGGCAAATGGATTTTGTTTGTCTATGGAGTATGGATGCATTTTTTGTTTTTATTTGAGTTTTTCTGTTGCATATTATATTATATTGTCAAGTTGATAATTAACTTCTACAGCCATTCACGACTTTCCACGTCTGGTGGCGTTTACTTTTGGTGAAGGACAAAAGCGAATGTTGAGTTTCGTAAAATCTTTTATCATGATTCATGACCATCCTATAATTCAAATCATCTAATTTTTCTTTATTTGTACATGTCATTGCCAAATATTTCCCTCACGTTTACTTGTCATATTATTAATCGATTTAACCAATAAATTTTACTTTCATGGGATCTACGTACGTTATTTGTACATGTCATTGCCAAATATTTCCCTCACGTTTATTTGAGTTTCAAATGTTGTGGTTTTCTACTTATATCTTTTATTCATGCATTAAAAAAAAGGTGGTTATTGACTTTTATATTCTTCATTTTAATTTATGAGAACAAATCATGATAAAAATATAA